TAATAATATAATAATATAATAATAATAATAATAATAATAATAATAATAATAATAATAATAATAATAATAATAATAATAATAATAATAATAATAATAATAATAATAATAATAATAATAATAATAATAATAATAATAATAATAATAAAGTACAGTAATAGCAATATCAATTGTAGATAACTGCAAAAAAAAAGTGGCAAATATTTCAAAGGGCTTGATTTTCAGGTTTCTTACGTTATGCTCAATTTTCCATTCCGAATTCTGGCCTTCATGGAAAACGTATCATTCAGTTAGCTTGAGCAGTACCGTATATCTAATTCTAACAGTATTGGTCCTATGAAACCTAGGAAATTTTCTGATACTCATCTATTTCATCATTAGAAGACTTATCAGGCCGTGTTACGAATTGTTTTTTGTCATCCTTAACATGAGTATTGCATTTTGCATCCGCCTTTGTTGATAAATTTTGTTCCGGAAAGTATTCCGTAATGGCAGAGGTGATAATAACAGGATCATCATTAACAACGTTTGAACTGAAGTTAAAACATAATGAAGCAGCATTTTGTTGTGGTGTGGAAGTTTCAGCTTCGTGATCTGACTCCTTTAGATGCTGATCGAGATTATTGTTGGATGAAATAATGAAATGATCATTTGTTTGATTGTCTGAAAATTTTTTGCTTACTGATATCGGAAAATTCAATCATAACTGTCATTGAAATCAATGATAGTAGATTTGAATAAATGCCAAAGAAAAGATGGAAAGATTTACTTGAATCCAAGCTTTGAGAAGAAAATTTTGATAGTGTAGATTCGGAAACTAAATCTCGAAATCGTCGAAATTTTTCAACCATACGACCGAAATTCTGTTTTGTTGTTTGATCATCCACATTTGACAATTTCTCTAGGACTATATCACAACTTTTTCGTCCATATCTTGGCAGCCGAAAATTTCGATAAGGTTTTCCCGGAAAATGTGGATAGCTTTTCCGGCGATCTTCATTTGATGCTTCTCTTCCAACTGTAAAATGAATTGCATAAAATTTTTTGGAAAAAAAAAACACAGTTTATTTGTCTGTTGTAAATAAACGGTTAACAAACTTGAAGCTTGCAATTCTGCAAATTTTGCTTCCAGAATTTCACTGCTTACAGTTTTGTCGAATTCTACTCTTGGCTGAAAATAAGTATGGTAATGGTTTGAAAATTATTGACGATTTCTTCACTTTTTTTTAATTAATTAATTGGTAATTGACATTAAAAATTTGCAAAGGTAAGGAATGTTTTGCTAAGATATTTGTTCCGATAAATGATTTTGATTTGTCCTTTTTAGAACTTGTAAAACAGATGTGTAAATCAGTAATTGGATGAAAATACAAACTAAAATAATATCCTCGTTGTCAGTATCACTTTCACTACTTTCAAATATTGCTTCCGTAGTATTCTCTTGATCATGCTCATCCTCCTCTGGCCGTTTTGTGACCGCGGTCAAAGTTCCCGCTTGTATTCGTTCAATTGCTGATGTTATCTAAAAATTCATTTATGTCATTTAATTATTTTGTTTACCAATGAATATTTTGGTATTCAAAGGCATTAATTCAGAATTCTATGAACAGATTCCAAAAAGAATATTTTAATTATTGTACTGACCTCTTTTGCTGCTACAACACCTACGAGGACGCCACATTTGGTGACATATGCTCGTCGTATGCCAAGTAATGAAAAGATTGAATGAACTTTGTACAACGATGTGTCCTCTACTAACTGGAAAGGTGCGGGATCAATTGTTGTATAAGAATAATCGATTTCCTTGCTGAGTTGTTGCCTTTCCCAGATTTGGCGCTAGAAGAAATTATCATAATGTTATCGTAATCCTTTAAAGAATATTCTGTGGGCGATAATTTACTCTTTCTTTTAGCGCAAAACAAAATTTATAACTGAAACATTCCTTTCGAAATTTTATTTTTCGCAAAAAAAATTGACTCTGGAAAGAGTTAAAAACCGAAAAATTTACTTCTTCTTTATTTAAATCATCTGGTTCCTCTCTTTTCCGTGTGCGAAATGTTTGTGTAATTTTTTCAAACACACCTTTAAAAATGCATCAGATTAACTCTAATAAAGCTGATAAGTTGACAATTCTAATAAAGTTGACAAGAACTGATAAGTGTAATAAAATTGACAGATAGCACGAGTATGGGAGAAACGAAACAAAAATCGTATAATTTTGGTGACATCAAAAACATACTGCCAAGAGTTTCACGAAAATCATGTCCGGAATGCAATTGCTCCATTTGTTCCAAACATCGTTTTTCCTCTCTCTCTTTAGATTTTCGCATATCATACTCACTAATTGATGTCTTCAATTTTGGTCCTCGATTTATACCCAATTCTAGTGATCCGGTTCGTGATCGTTGCATATCTTCCGTATTTCCATGTTTGCTAACTTCCGTAAATGAGATTTTCGAAAATACTGGCGCTATAGAAAAGCTGTAGGAAAATTTCAATTAAAAAATCTATTTTTCGTTTAATATCAAATATATTCCTAAGCAAAACGATGCGAATAAGAAATATCAAACAATGTATTATAGAAAAAAAAAAATGTAAGACAGTATGGGAACTTATAGTACTAAGTTTACAGTATAATATTACGGTATGAGATTCATGCTGTTTAGCCCCAGACTTCTACTTCATGTTATTTAGCCTCAGGCTTCTACACTTGGAAGAATATCAGCCAAAGCGTTAACATGTGAAGTTAGCGTTTTTTTTTTTTTTTGTGGCATGCATGTGTTAAATCGAAGCTTAGTGGATAGCTCAATTATCCGTAACTCTTCGGGAAAAGGCTAAACTGTCACAACTACGTCTTGCATTTCCCGAATACTTGAGAGATCTCAGGATTATTTCCAGGAGATCCAGGAGAAAGTACGAAATGATTGTCACGAACAAACATATGGAAAGGATCATATTTATACTTTGTGCAAGATGCGCTGATGGTTAAAAAGGCTGATGTAAAAAAGCTAATGTAGAATGATATGGGATTCACTTAGCCTAGTATATCTGAGAGATATTAAGATTATCCTCATGTGATTTTAGCAGAAAATATGAAGTGATACTGTAAAGGTTAATAATATTTGTTGAAATTTTATTACTCTGAGCATGGAAAATAATAACTTGCCTTCGTAGTAATAACATCGTTCTACTAAAATAATTGCTAAAATAAACTAAATAAATCATGTTGTTGTTTTAAATTTCAGTCAATTTCAAGATGTTTCTTATTTAAGCCACTAAAATGAACATGTTGAGCTTTTCAAAATGATTGAAAATCATTGATACACTTTTTTCTACATTATTCCTGAAGTGACATATTGGTGACATTAGTGGAAATTAGAGGGAAGAAAGCCTTCTTTTATCCGATCAGAGAAGATTTCTGCATTGACTGATTTATTAGATCAAATCATATGGATTTCATTAAAATTTTTCACTTTTCTGTCTCCGGTTACAGCAAAAAGATATGAAGCAAGAAGTTAGTGAATAAGTTGGAAAATATAAGAAACAGAAGAAAAGATTAGAAGCGAATATAAAACCGTTAACTTAGCAGTATACCACGTAATCTTACCTTCCTAACACCACCGTACGACAGTTAACTTCCCAATATCATCCTAAGCTATGCAACACATTTTTTTACACCACTTCAGATAGCAAATTGAAAAGCAGTACTTAACAAGAGATTCATCCTTATAAGCTCTATCTGTCATCGTATCGTGAAATTCGTTTTGCAATTGCATTCGTCGTAAATATTCAGCACGTCGTGCTTCATCTCCAACAATTTGATTCAACAAGTACAGCAGATTTTCTCGACTTACCGATCCCAATAATATCATCGATGCTAAATTCTCTTACATTCAAGATATCGTTTTTTTTTGTTTACATAAGTACATTAAATTTTCAATTTTCAACAGAAAAAAATAACCAAAGTAAGATGAAAACTTCACATGGATCATCGACCAATGGATATGCCATTAATTTGCGTGTAGTAGTAAGTAATTCTTGAAGTTCATAATAAGTACTTTGTTTCGTTAAAAATTTCACATTTTTTACCATAATTTGTTCTACACGTATTTCATGAACCCTGTAATACTATTATAACATCTATGTATCACTTCTTCTTTTTTTAGTGAATTAAATTTTCTTCAGGAAACAAAATGAATTGCTAACGAAATTGTTATATACCATGAGGTAGATTTTGGAATATCTGGAAAATATGGCAAATGTTTGATTTTGATAATGCTATCAAAAAATGATGGTTGAAGTGATGAGCATACAATATTTGATAGTAATACTGCTATCTGAAAGATAAATAATAATAATTGAATTGCTATAGTAGAAATGAATGAATGATACTACGGTAGTAAAGATGAAAAGAAAAGTAAAATAAAATACCATAACAGGAAGTATATGTAATAGTTGACCGGTTAATTCAAAAGCGATCACAGAAACAGAAATAGTATGTGTTACTGCTCCACAAAATGATACCGCACCTGAATAAAATAATGATGATTAGAAGAAGTTGAAAATTTGATATTATATTAGGAGAATAATATTGAAAACAAACCAACAACTGAGTAAATGCCTGGAAGAATGAGTAATTGTTGATCATTGCGAAAACCATTCGGATAACCAAATGCCATTAATTCACCAATAAAACGACCAATTGCTGCACCAATAACAAATGCCGGCATAAATATACCTGTTGGTACAGGTAATGTACTTACAACAATCACCAAAAAAAACTGCAAATTTTGATACATTGTTAATTTACATAACAATAATAATAAGTACGCAAAGCAAATGATCAGCTTTAAAGATATATATATATATTTCGATCGATAGCAATAGTTCCCAATCGGATCTGTGATTTATAGATGATCTGCTTAGGCATGATGAGGAGAAAACAGATGAGGACTGTTCTTATCAGTGTTTGATAAACTAATGCGTCAAAATTTTTGACTAAAGTTTATTTTCAAATTAACGGAGTTTGTTACTTTTGAATCTTGTAATTACTACTGCAAATAAAAAAAAGCCGAAGTTGGTCAGTAGTCAAGAAAAGACTGGGATAATCATTGATCTATATTTTGCATATCATAACGCTATTTGTAATGCTTAATTCTCTATGCTCAGAAGACCTATTTCTTTGATTGCTTTTAAATAACGAGTTGCATTCTTATGTGGACATGCCAAAAGATATAACACCGGAATGGTTCTTGTCATGAGAATATTTGGGAAACTTACGAAACCAACGATGAAAACTCCAAGTTCAATGAATACGGAATCATATATTTTCCAACGCATTACCAAAAATTCACTGCATGCTTCGACGTGTAATGGACTCACGTGCCACGTGCAATTAGCAAAAAAGTCACGCAATGAACGTGCAAACACAATCTGAAATTCCAAATTCCGGAATAAAATCTTAACTATTTTATATGCAGCAAATAACCAATCGTTAAATGTGTTTTCTTCTCATCTAATTGCCGATTTAATCACGCAATAACAAAGTTAATCACAATTAATTAAATTTGATTACCTGTCCAGTAAGGTATTGTCCCAAACCATGTGGATATGTTATGGTCGAATAAAGGATTGAAACTGTGAACGGATAGACTATCCAGCTAAAATATGTATTTTGCCCAGCAGATATAACACAATTTTCAACAAATAAAAACTAAAATTGGATTATTCTTTTTACTATCAATTTGACTAAGTTAGGTAAAAAATATATTGAAATATTCCTGAATCATAAATTAAGTAAAAGGTCAAAGAAAGCAATTAACTTACTGTCTCTGAAAAAGTTGTTTCATTAAATTATTCCGTCGAAGAAACAACACATATCGGCGATGTATGAGAATGAAAAGTGCACCAGCTAAGCCACATAAACCACTTCAATATATTTCAATTTTGTTTAAAAAAATCTCAGAAATTTCTATTAATTTCGAAAAATTCAAAAAATTAAAATAAAAAGGATTGGAATAATTACCCAATGCATGCAAAAATGAGCAGTTCTTCGGGATAATATGATAAATGCCGAAATTTTGTTTGAAAAAGTGCTGCCACTGTTACTGAATTATCTTTTAATCATTTTCTACAACTTCATAAAAATTCAAAAGTTTAAATCAAACATTTCCAAACTTTGTTTTTGGAAGGAAACACAAAAAAAAAAGAAAAGAAAACCTTCGAATGGATTGATCCATAATCGTAAAAGTGAAAATGCAGCTGCACCGCATGCAGCTGCAAAAAAACCACGCCAATAATCACGAACCGCAAAATATGCTGTTGTTACTTCAATTGAGAATAGTACACCTTAACGAATATCAATGAAATCAAATTTTCGGTTAATTTTTTTTTTTTGTTGAAATAAAGATGAAAATACCGCATTTATTTTTTACTTGGCTATATGTAGTACGATATTTTTGTAAAGAAATAAAATAGGTCCAATCACAACTGAATTATTTGATTAAAGTTGAAAAAAAATTTGATAATGAATTGTTAATCAATCGTCGAATTTTTCCCTTTCTAATCCTATTCTGCGACAGTGTGACATTCAATACAATAAAATAAACAGGAAATTCCATTAATTATAATTTTTCTATTTTCTTTCAAAGTTCACAATAAAACATTTTCAATATTACTGATTAATATTAATATATGCCAGTTGATACTGAATCTATCCTAATTAATTATTTAATTGATACTTTTAAAGTACACGCATATGCAGCATAACAATTCTTTTGTCTTAGTTTTGCAAATCTTTCAAACTGTTTGCAGGGAAGGACATTTTTACAGAAGATATGCAGAAAAGATTTTGATTTTTTTTCTTTTCAAATATTGACAGAAAAGTGATACGCAAAAATTTGAGGCTTCATTAATCGGATATTAGACAATTAGTCGAAAGATCACCTCCAACAGGCGCAGAAAAAGTTGCAGCAACACCTGCAGCACATCCTGCAGCAAGTAACTCATAGCTTCTGGATTCATTTGCATAAGCAGGCTTAATTCCTTCTACCAAACGTCTCATTAGATGTGCTACTATTGAACCCATATGAACAAATGGTCCCTTAAATTAGAATACAATGTGAAATTAATCGAACAGATGGATCTTCTGAAAAATCGGATGATCAAAGCGGTTAGTTGACTTATCGGATCCATGATATGGTTGATAAATATCGAAAACAAAAAACACGATTGCTCGATCTTTCGTAAATCTAAATTGAAGACGAAATTTATTTAAAATGAAATTTGTCACCTCTTTACCAAGCGGAAAACCACTTCCAATTGCAAGCATCAAGCCGATCAATTTAGATATTAAAGTACGAAATGTTAGATGTTTCTCGAGATGTACACCTTGTAGTATTGTCTTTACTTCAGGTATGCCAGATCCTAAATTTGTCATCTTTTCGTACTTTCAATATCAATTCTTTTCAATTATCAATTTCTTATCACTCAAATGAAGGGCTAATTTTAAGACTATCAAAATATATTTAAATTAAAATAAACCCATAGCATTAATTGATAGATAATGTACGATAGTTGTTGAGAGCATTAGTAACATCATTGTATAAATTAGCCATGCTGTATAAGTCATCAAGGTATTAGTTGTCGCATGTTTTGTTATGTTAAAATTTTCCATTATTATTACATGATCTGAAGTTGAAAACTTAATTTTTTTTTGTACATTTTAGATTGGCTAATTAATCTCATTGAAATTAACACTTCAGAAATGCCATAAAATAATAAACTAAAAATTTGCACTCAAAAGTTATTATCCTTAATAAAGAGCTTATCATTCATTTTATTTCTTCTTTATCAATTAAAATAAACTGAGAATGCGCAAGTATACATGTTTGAAGCTTATCGACTCCGTAATCGAGTATCAGTGAAAGTACAGCCATTGCAACACCCAAACCTGCCAGAAATATCCAATCTATCAGTAACATACCAAAAGCTCGATGCGGTTGATCTGTAATGGGAAAAACTTTTGCTTGCTCTCGAAATCCGGAAGCACAAATGAGATATCAGTCAGGAATGTCAGATTTGTGCAGCAAGAATGGAGTGTCGAATAAGAAGTTTATTCAATTATTTCCATCCTTTCACTAATTTTAGGATCTTTTCAGATCATATGTGACATCTGGAATTTTGTTCAATTCTTTTTTCATGTCATCTTTGTCATCCATGAGCTGTACTGGGTTTTGCATTTTATGAAAGTTTTCTAACAAAATAAATAATATTTGTAAATAAATGGAATAGTTAATCAATAAGTCGATTAATTTATTCAAAAATTAAAAAAGTAAAAATTTCTTTACAAAAAATTTAAATATGTTTATGTCGAATGTAAGTTTGCGGTGACAGTGTCAAATGATCAAATTATTCAATTTGATGTTTGATCTGCAAGTATTTGATTTTTTCCAGGTGGCGAAATTGTATGTAAAAAAATGTTTAATATTAAATGCAATTATCTGATAATTAGATAATCGAGGTTGATAATTACAATCAGGATATCATGATTTGAATCCTTCCACAGGCCTGATAAGCATTTGTTATAGTTCTTATGGGTTGTTTTTAAAAACAATTTTTCTTTGAAATTCCTGTAAACGAGATTGTCTGGCTCTCATTTTTCGGCCAAACTTAATTTTTTTACACTTCGGAACAAGTTTGATAACTTTTGCTTTCTTATGCCCACAAAATGATTGAATATTTTGGAACTCTTTTGTATCCGAAGCGGAAAAAAGAACTGCATTTGCTAGATTCAATTTTAAACTTTACGCAATTTCCAGTCAAAATATACTTTATGCAATTTGCAATCTAAAGCATGCTTCATGCAGTTTGCAATCAAACCAATAGCACAAAGTAAGTGGACAAGAAAATTTGAAAACTTACAAATATTGCAAAATAATCTTTTCTTTCGGAATCTAACTTTAGCTTTCATTGAATTACCATTTTCCAGTTTGATATTATTTGAAGAGCACAATCTGCGAAGAATATGAGTGAAGTTTTGATTAAAAGTAGTCCGAATTTCGTGTCTTACATCCTTAGAAACACCAGTAATCATAGTCTCATTTCCCGCGATTCCCTAGAAAATGTATTTCTGTAATATTCACTATTGCTATTTGTAACAACATCAGTTAAAATCGAGTAATTTAATGATAAAAAAAAGGTGAATTACAGAGTGTAATTTCTGAAAAGGATGTTATATTAGTGAATGTCAAATAGAAGTGTTTGTTTTTAAAATATATAAAAAATTCGGATGTCTAATTTGGAATCTGAAATCAATCGATCTTTCCCATTCTTTTTTCTTCCGAAATCTGAACAAACTTTCACACTTCAAAGTTTTTTTCGGGATTCAAGAAAGTAGGAGTAAAATTCCGAATCATAAAAAAAATAAATGCAAAAAGAAAAAATGGAAGCGTTCATTTCATTGAATCTATCATTTTCTAATTTTAGACAAACGAAAATTTAATTTTTTTAGTCAATATAATTCAATTTTTCTATTAAACATTAAATCTTTTAAAAAATATGGCTACAGGGTGAAAGTAATTCGGATAATAATGCTGATAAGCGATACATGACTTGTATAGTCACTGATAGAAGTTCTTAACACTAGATGATTTCTTTTTCTAGAATATCTGATCCTTAAAGTACCGTTAGTTTGTCATTGATAGTAAAGACAGAAGAAAGTTCAAGATAAATGAAAGATTTGATATGGATAATGAATGTAAAAGAAAAGAAAAATCAAGTGAATGAAAATATAAAAGGCTAAAGTGGATATTCTAAACTGTTTAGAGATAAAAATAAAAACTGAAGAATTCAAAAATAAAAGAATCGATTAATGATGATTGACTGTTAGACGAAAGAAAAGTTTGAGAATGTGACATCATTATTTTATCATACCAAAAGGAATTCTTAAAGATTGCAAAAAAAAAAAAGGAAAAACAAAATAGAACTGTACGAAGAAAAAGTAACTGGCAGATGAAAAGTAACTAAATGAGTTAATCAATATTGTATGTATTCTTTGAGAATTAAAAAAAAAATTAGCCAAAAAAAAAACTTAGACAATTGCAAGTTTTTTCATGAGGCAGTAAGAACTTGTTTTCACAATTATATGCATGGTTGAAGATTTGATTGAAATTTGAATCAGAAGTTAAAGATAAGAGTGATGTTGCATGCATGCTACTGCATGTTTTTGCATTCCGATCCTGAAGAAGAGCACTAATGCATGTACGCTATTACATACCGAAAAAATCGTTGACTCGTGAATAATTATAGCTATTACATGTTATTATTCATACTTTGAATTATTTCAATGTAATTTATCATTGAAACTCGATTTGAGACTGAGAGCGCTAATGTATGCATGTTACTGCATGCTGTTGCATGCCAAGAACTTATTGAT